TTTTTTTTGTCATGCCAAAGTGATTATTTAAATAAAGTGTACATTTAACTACATTTTTATAAATACTAATCAATTATGTACATATATTATAAACATTATATTACATGTTATACTAAATAAATATCTCCCAAGACGTTTTATTTTCCGCTGTTGACAAGATCTGAAAACTGTTATACATAAAATGTTAAAAATATAAAAAGCCTTTGAAAAATCCCATAAAATCCTGTTTGTTGCAATAAAATCATTCCGCGTTAAGCGGTCGCCTAATGATAAAAGCGCCTCTTCTTATTGTAAAATCAAAATTTAAAGTAATTATTTTTGGCAGGAAATAATCTTAGTTGAAATTATAAAATTTAAAAAATAATTTATATATTATAAATCACCTATATACTATATCTGTTATCTACTCAATAATATATCAGATATCTGCTTAATAATATCTGAAAAATAATTATATCAAATACCTTCTCAATAATCATTTTATCAGATATCTCTTCAATAATTATTATATCAAATATCTCTTTAAAAACCAAAATTTTACTTTAAATAAAAAACAGTTAAAACCCTCCACTTTCAGTCAATAGTTTATTAAGAAGCCTCATGCTGATTTTTTTATTAAGAAGCCTGATGTTGATTTTTTAAAATTGACTAATAAAAATTAAAAACTTTGAACAAAACTAAACTTTGTACTAGATGCTTTTCTCGAATCTTCAGAAATTTTTTTTTGAATAGTTAACCCATGCAAAATATCGATAGCTTTTTCTGCCATTTCCCAGGTCTCTCTATCAAGACAAGTTTCATGAAGGTACGTAAGCACTTCTATTGTGCCAATTGAAAGGGCGTCATGTCTGAATACATTAATTAAATGCTAACAGTAAACATATATAATTTGCAACATCCAGTAAACCCATAAAGAACATTAATAAATCTCAAAGGTACTTAAAAGTGAAAAATTTTTTTTTTTTTTACATTTAAACTTTAATATTATTTTACATTAGAGAGTTTTTAGAAATTTTTTTAAATAGAGAAAAGAAAAAAACAGAAAAGATGCAAAAATTGATAACATGTACAAAAAAATCCCAATAATTCAAACTTCTAAGGGACCAAAAAAAAAGTAAATATAAGCAATTTTTTTAAACAGTTTCATTCCCAAGACTGCAAGTAACCACTATTAGGTTGGGAGTTACTAGAAAACAAAGAATAGTGTTAAAGAACAAGGAAACAGGTGAAAAAAGATTTGAAAAGTTGAAGGTCGTATGAGTCAGGAAAACATGATGATAAAAGAAAGAGTGAAAAAAAAGACAAACAAAAGTATTTATAGCAGATAGGGTTAGTGACAGTAAAAGGAGACAATCTAGCTGCATGGAACGAGTTTTGGCTAATAGAACAAGCGACAATAGCTCATTTAAGCAACGACCATGATATTATTTGTAGAAAAAAGAAAGAGATGCAACTGTACGCTTATGGAAAAGTGGATCAAGTTTGGCAGATAAAACAGGTTTAACTATGTTTATAATGCACTTTTGTCTAAATGAGAAAAAGCATTATAAGAAGAACCAGCCCAAATATGACAACAGTATTTCATACAGAGGTGAATAAGAGATTTGTAGTTGTAGAGAATGGAATCAGGTAACGTAATGACAAACACAATAAAGAGAAGAAACCGAGGCACATATTTACTTTGCAATTACGTATATATATGTTTTCCACGAGAGGTCAGTTGTAAATGATATTCCATAAAGAAGAGGACTTAGTGAAAAGGTTCCATTCATTAATAAAGGAATGTCAACAATATTGCGATAGTTGTTTGCAGAAAATAACTGAGTTTTGTGGGAGTTTAAATTCACAAGCCACTGCAAGCCTCAAGCTGTTGCAGAAAAGAGATCAGATTCAAGATCGACTACCTGTTCTAAATGATTAAAAAGAGAAGACTTTGTTTAAAGACAGGAGTATAAAGTTAAGTTAACAAAGAGACTTTAGATATAAAATTATCAGAAAGATCTTTAATGAAGATGAGAAACAATACAGGGGCGAAGGTAGGACCTTGTAGTACCCCAGAAGTTACTGGAAAAGAAGATCGGGTGTTGGCTTTCAAGGGCAACTTTGTTAGTAGGGTTAAAAAGAAATGATTTAATAATTTCAAAAATCTTTATAGATACTATATAAATCAAACTAATGAATAAGACCAGCATGCTAAACTTTAACTTTTTGAAACTTTTTGAAAGCTTTTGATATGTCAAAACTACAGTCCATGCCTCATTTCCTCCATCAGATGCACAACTGATTCTTTTAGTTACATCAGTTAGCAAGTAATTGATTATTGTATTAGGTGTCCACATCGATTGCCAAGGAGTTATTAGACTCTAGATAGAATGTTAAAAACTTAACAAATAAAGATTCAAAGACCTTGCTAAAAATAGAGAGAAGACTGATTAAACGATGGTCGAAGGGGTCAGGGTGTTTTCCAGAGTTTTTTTAAATTTGGAACCAAAGATGCCAG